ATTTCTCTGTGGATAATAAGGGCTCATGTTTGGAATTAAATAAATATAACTGAACACTAAGATGAAAAACAATTTGCTATTAACTGCCAAGTGGCTAGATCTGTTACACTCGGGCCTGTAGGGCCTCGAACCTCTGACCAGGCTTACACAGTCTGCAACAGAAGTGATACATTATCATCTTATCTGCTTTAGAGAATCTAAATGAATGACTCTGGCTGAACTTCTTTTAGAGTTTATTTCTTATATTGGCAGTTTTATAAACATTTATATATCTGCTGTATGCCAATTGCCAGTGACACAAAGAGCAATGATCTGAAAGAAGAGTGACCTACACTGAACCAGTAATATAATATAAAGGCACTGATCCAGTGTAGGCCAAATACTCAGTGTGTGTAGCTATGCATAGTCATGTATTTATATATATATGCATAGATAGATAGCTACATATATAGAGAGAGAGCTCTGGTAGCATAGTGATTATGAATCGGGCTGCTAACCTGAAGGTTGGCAGTTTGAAGCTACCAGCTGCTCCGTGGGAGAAAGATGAGGCTTTCTGCTCGCATAAAGATTTACAGCCTTGGAAACCCTCTTCAGGGTCACTATGAGTCGGAACAGACTCCATGGTATGTAACAACAACGTTGTACATATATATGTTGTTGTTGTTGTTGTTAAGTACCCTGCATAGGGATTCCGAGGCTGTAAATCTTTATGGGAGCAAATTGCCTCATCTTTCTCCCGTGGAACTGCTGGTAGGTTTGAACTGCTGACCTTCAGGTTAGCTACCCAATTCATAACCACTATGCTACCAGAGCTCTCTCTCTCTCTCTCTCTCTATATATATATATATATATGTATATATGTATATATACTGAGTGTGACTGTTTCATATTGGCCAAAAAAGAATGTCGTATTGTTAGGTGCCGTTGAGTCAGTTCCGACCCATAACAACCCTGTACACAACAAAGCACTGCCCAGTCCTGTCCTCCTGTATTATGTAAATGTAGAGCCCATTGATGCTGTAACTGTGCCAATCCATTTCACTGGGGATCTTCCTCTTTTTCAGTGAAGCAAGATTAGTGTGCTTCATTTTGTGTGTTGAGGAGGAAAACTGACTGTCTGATTGTGCCTTTGAAAGAGCCAGGCTGTTTTCCGCCCATCCACATTAGCAACTATTTCACCACGAGCAGCAGGAGAACTTTGGTGTGGAGCTAATGTTTATTTCAGTAAAGACTTTTTGACCCTGACAACTAGTAATAGAAGTATTTACTTACCACCTGAAATTCTGTGCTGACTAATGTGGAAGACATAGGCTAGCTAAAGGGATGGTTAACATTGATCAGTGTTACTACAGTTGGTGCCACCCAGATATACTTCCTGCTCTGATGGTTCTCCCTCCATGTCTGACCAGGCAGGGTCATTAGTAATGTTTACTACCAATTTTGATCATAGAATAAATAAGATAAATATAGTTGTAGACTGCTTAAATGCAACATTTCTTAGATTATATGAATGTTGTTGTTGGGTGCCATTGAGCCGGTACCAACTCATAGCAACCCTGTGCACAACAGAAGGAAACACTGTCCGGTCCTACACCAACCTCACAATCTCTGTTACGTTTGGGCCTATTACTGCCACCACTGTTCCAATCTGTCTCGTTGGGGGTCGTCCTCTTTTTCTCCAACCCTCTACTTTACCGAACATGATATCCTTCTCCAGGGGCTGGTCCTTCCTTATAAATGTCCAAAGTATGAGAGACGGATTCTGACCACCCTGGCTTCCAGGGAGCACTCTGGCTGCACTTCTTCCAACACAGAAAGATCTGTTTGTTCTTTCAACAGTCCATGGTACTTTGAATATTCTCCTCCCACATCCTAACTCAAATGCATCAATTCTTTTATACTCTTCCTTATTCACTGTCCAATTTTCGCATGCATATGAGGTTATTGAAAATACCATGACTTGGGTCTTAGATTTTGTGACCACTAATAACAAAATTGTTTTGTGAAATATTTCTACATTGAATTATAGCATTTTTAATTGCATTATTAGTAACTGAGCAGAAACATTTACAGTTTTTTCCTTTTCCTTTAATTGTTAATTCATTGTCAAAAAACATATTGGCATAGGTTCACAAATACTAAGTGACACAACATTGCAGTTAGAACACAGAAAGTTTCACAAAATCAGTGACTGAAAACACCGGCAGCAGCAAAATCAACAGCAATGCTTGTACAGATGAAACCACATGATTGAAAGCATCATTTAATTTAGTAATAGTGACAGTTCTGACCAGAGCTCAATGTTGTTGTTGTTGTTACGTGCCTTTGAGTTGGTTCTGACCCATAGTGACCCTATATGGGGTTTCCAAGGAGCAGCTGGTAAGCTTGAACCGCCAACCTTGCAAATCAAACCGACTTTGCAGTCCAGCACATTAACCCACAGAACCACACCAGGGCTCCTTGTTGTTGTTAAGTACCATCAAGTTGGTTCTGACCCATAGTGATCCTGTCTAGGGTTTCCGAGGAGCAGCTGGTGAACTTGAACTGCCAACCTTGCAATTCAAACGTACTTTGCAGTCTACCACATTAACTCTTTAGAAGGTTCAAAAAGTAAATTAGCACAGAGTTTGAGCCTTGGAGTTATATTGATACATGTAAGCTGGGCTTATGAAAAATGTTTTTGTTGTTATATCAAGCCGCAAC